GGGGGGCGTTGGCTTCAGACATCTAGGCTCCAGGTCTCAAAATCATGACTTGAACGCTTAACCCAACTTCCATGAGACCTTCCCCGGCTAGAGGGTGCGAAAAGAAGTAGCACCCAACCTTTCGGGCGAGAGCCGCGAAGTTCAGGCACGCATGCATGCCTGTATGCACGTGTATGTATGTTTGTGTATGTACAGGAATAAAAACACACATGTATATATATATATATTTATTTATTTGTTTCTAGGGGCATATACAGACACAGCTTCCAAAGCTGTCCGAGGCGAACCAACATCATTGCGGAGGAGGGCGCAATGCCCGTTCCGAGACCGACCATGACCATTGGAGTGACGTCGTCCTCGACGAGGCTATTGTGGGTCAACTTTCTAGAAGCTGCATACGGATCGTGGCTTTAAAGGCTTCGCACGGATAGATAGATGGATGGATGGATGGATGGATGGATGGATAGATCGGTTAAGTAGGGATAGAAATAGAGACAGAGAGATAGATTGGTAAGGGGATGGTCGAGTCGAGAGATAAAGAGGTAGAGAGACACGGAGATGAGACCTGGAGATATAGAAGATGGATATAGATACAAATACATAAGTGTATAGATATATAGTTATATATACATATAGATATGGATATAGATAACCTTTAGATTGTTGGAAAGATTAAGCCGTGCAGTGCTCGTGGTTTTGAGGGGATATTCAACCAACGTTGCCGTTGGATTCCGGATGGGCCGAGCTCTCCTGCAAAGAGCCCTCAGGCCCCCCAATGACGAAAACCGCTACTTCAGAGTCTGGGCCACGACACCCCAACCGGAAACCCGGTTCGTTGGGGGATGTAGCTACGAGTATGTAGGGTTTTGGAGTTTGGGGCTTCTACCGGGGGATCATTACGAATTATCCAGACCCCTGTATTGTCTGCAAGCCCGAGAGACCCTTTGGCGCAAAAGCTTTCAATCCGAAATCCTAGAAGCCCTTCAAACGCCAAGCTAAGAGCTCTTTTTGGGGATCCTGATGGAACCCTTAAAGGAACCCTTAAATGACCCCTTAAGAATCCTGATGGAACCCTTAAAGGCACCCTCCTAGGCCCCTTAGATGACCCTTCCGGGAGGGAAGTCCTTGGGGAACTGGAAGGTGCCGCAGACGACCGCACAGGGCACCTCCACCGCCAAAGACATATGACCGAGGTTGAGGGTTTAGGGTTTTAGGGTTTAGGGTTTAGGGTTTAGGGTTACTCTAGGGGCCTCGGCCATTAGAGCAGTGTTCCTCAAGATATCTGAATCTTTATATACACAGTATATTCTAGCACCAAAGCCCTAATTCTAATTGCTAAACGCATCTATACAGGGTAATTTCTCGGCTCTTGTATGATGACCAAGATTTCGGAGGAATCCCACAAGGGGCGGTAGGGTTTAGGGCTCAGTAGAGATGCCAACCGTAAAGCACGCACCATCTCCCGAAACACTGAAACTATGGTAGGGTTTGGCGCCTGGGGTTGGGGTTCAGGGTTTAGGGGTTTAGGGCTCTAGAAAGCAACTCTGGCGAATCGAACCAACATATCCAAAATTGACAGCGGCCCGAAAAGAGATGCAGTTGGAGACCTTGCTGCCCACCGGCATGTGCTGGATGAACTTGGTGCATGTTCCTGTCGAAGATGCCGGATGACCGAATTTGCAGGATTTAGTTCTCCGGGCTGCTTCTGCAGGTCACCTATCGGGGTGTGGATAGCCAGCCTCGGTTTCTGCGAAGATGGCCTTTACTTCGGGAGAATTGTTCAGGCGCTGTACGGTATAGGGTTTGGTGTTTAAGTGGTTGTGGTCCAGAAAACTTGAGGCAAGTCGTCCTTCGAGGCTGAACGTTTGCTGCTCCCTCCAAGCAAAGACACGCACCCAGTTTCTAAGATGTACATCGACAGCCTCTGTTAAGTCATCCTGCCTTGCACCTGCAGAATGATTCGAAATATTGACTATGACATCCCAGACCCTAACCTCGAACAATCCCATATACATGCACACATGTGCCGATATAGTGAGGATGCGGAAGCACCAGCAAAACAACAGCAGTCATCATGCGCGACAGCCACGGCAACAAACAAAACAAAAGCAAGTTACAACTCTGTTTACGACAGAACCAACAGTGAGGGGAACACTAAACATGCTTGCACTAAATAGTGCTTGCCATTACAGAAAGCACGCCAAACCAGGCCTGTCTTTACAGCACCGGTCGCCTTGGATTTCCACCTCAGAACAGTATTGGCGATTCCATTTGAGGATCGTAAGACCTTACATTCAACCCTGAACCGAAGACACTTCCCTAAGCCCTAAACCCTCAACCCTAAACCCTAAATCCTAAACCCTTCTAGCTTTTTGGGTGTTGTCGGGCATCTGTACGGCTTCATACGGCGGTTTTGTGGTCGTAGTCTACACTTCGAGTGGAGGTTTGCTGCGCACTTTTGCAGATACATGGCGGGGTCTATGTAGGTGTTATCTCAACCAAGTCTGGGCCTTTGCAACCCTAAGCCTCAACCCTAAACCCTAAACCCTAAACCCTAAACCCTAAACCCTAAACCCTAAACCCTAAACCGGTGCAGAACTTCCGACCCCAAGGCCTCTAAATCCCAGAGCCATGCAAAGCCAAAGCTGGAACCGTAAGCCTCCAGACCCCGAGGCCCCTTCAAGACTACGATCTCGTAGCAAGGGTTTAGGGTTTAGGGTTTAGGTTTTAGGGTTTAGGGTTTAGGGTTTAGGGTTTAGGGCCTTCAACCTTCAGTGTAACAAGACTGGGACGCTAAACCGAACAAAAAAAACAAACCCTAAACCCTAAGCCCCAAACCCTGAACCCTAAACCCTAAACCCCAAACCGTAAACTCTAACCCCCCCCACCCCCAACAGCCCCCGAATCATTGCATTTACCAAGGCGCTGGTTGATGACGATTGTGAACTCAACCGCCTTGGGGCCTCGAACGTGCTACAACGGTTTAGGGTTCAGGGTTAGGATTCAGGGTTCAGGGTTTAGGGTTTAGGGTTCGTTGAGCTTAGTTTCAGGCTTGTCATGCCTTAGGGGTCCAAGAGTCTAGGGTTATCCTTAGGCTCTATGCCTCCTTTGGCCCCAAACTACCCAGAAAAGGCACTACATTAGGGCCAAAGTATATATTATATAACCCTAAAGCCCTAAACCCTAAAACCCTAAACCCTGAAGCCCTAAACCCTGAAGCCCTAAACCCTAAAGCCCTATCCTATCTCGATACATGGACCCGACGGTCTGGCAAACTTCGGGGATTTGCGACTCACCTTGGGCGCGTCGCAGAAACCAAACCCCAGAAAATTGGCGACAAGGAGTACTATGACCCACACGGTTTAGGGTTGAGGGTTTTGGGGTTTAGGGTTCCAGGTATCACACCTAAGCCAAAACCCCACAGGCAAAGTCCAACATGCTAAAACCGAAGCTCTTGCAGACGCAGCAGCTGTAGCGTGCGTCCGAGGCGATGGAGTAGATGCGCGGCCTCCGATAAGATGGGGCAGCAAACAAAATGCTTAGTAGAGGGACCGTAACAATTGGATTCGGATTCGGGCTTCGGGGTACAGGTATACTATACATACACGGGGCATCGAGCAAGGTGTTTCGTCGAGTTTCGGGGCCGTAACAACTGGATTAATAATTCGGCGTGCAGGCATTATACATACATACATGCATACATACATACGTGTATTTATGCACATACATATGCACATAACATGCGTGCAACAATACGAACATACATATACGTTATGTGACAACTAACGACAATATGGAAGCGACTACCTGTCCAGTCTGCTAAACTCTTTTACGAAATTTAGAAGATCCCTTCCAAATACCTCATCAAGCCGCCGGAATCAAACCCTATACACGGAGGCCGCATATTCTAAACCCCCAAACCCTGAAACCCCAACCCGAAGAAACGCTGAACCCGAAAAGGCCGTTCTGAAACCCTACAGTCTTTGTCCACCGCCTATAAAACCCGTAAATGAACACTCAAAGGCACCCGTAGAGGAACCTGTAAAGGACCACTTAAGGCACTCCTACAGGGGAAGGACTTAGAACAGTTTTGCAGAAACGACACAAATTTCAACCCCAAACTTTGGCAGACAAAAACGTCGAAGAAGCGATACCTGTGTCAAAAGGCCTACCCCTTTCAGGAACCATAATAAGGGACCCGAAACAAGGTAGGTCTTTTCTGCTACAGGTGTGTACCGTATACCCTACTAAATCATAACATTTTGGAAAAGCTTAGGCTTGAGTATTTGGATCCCTACAAAGGCCCGAATGACAAGTAGTATCCGTACAAGGACGCCCAAAACAGGCCGCATAATTTCAAGAAACTCCCATCATGGCATGACACCTACCACAGCCCTAAGCTAACCGTAAATACCTAGACACTATTCAAAGACACCCTATGACCCTGAACCCTAAGCTAGAATCCCCAGTCAAGGCGAGGGGCTTGATCATGGGGAGCACAGAGATCAGCTGCTCCAAAGGCATCTTCGCACTTGGATACTTCCTGAAAGCGGGAAACTCACAAGTGTTTCTACAGGGTTCCTCCGGGTTCTTCAAGGGGTCCCTCTAGTTTTTTCAAGGGTTCCTTTTCAGGGGTTTAGGACTTTGGGGAGGCTAGAACGGTTAAGGATTCATGAATTGAAAGGGGGTTTAGGGTCCGGTCCGGGGTTCGGAGGTTCAGGGTTTAGGTTTTGGGGGCGCCAGGTCTCTGGGTATTCTTAACGTTCATTGAAGAGATTCTTATAGGGCGTATCTTATAGAGTGATGAATTGTTCTAGCTTCAGGGATTCGGACCTGTTTGGGTAGGTCCCTTTGCGGCTGAGGGACATTGCAGGGTACATGTAGGCTATTTAGGGTTTCGGATGAGTCGGCAACTAACCGGGATGCCAGAGAGGAACTCGGTATACATATGTAAAACATGAACGCCTGTGTTGTGTCTTGTCATGTATCTGTCTGTCGTTGTCGATGCAAGTATCCTTGTGGGCCTGCAGATAGCTTTTGCTGAGGCTCCAACGAAAGATATCCGACTGCGGGTTGAATCTTTAAACCCACGGCTTGCACCGAAAACTGCTCAATACGCTGAAGCCTTAAGACGACTGAGCCCTATACCCTAAGCCCAATACCCTGAAGGCACACTAAAACCTGAGACCTAAGACCCCTAGACCCTAAGCCTGAACCCAAGACCCTAAAACCTAAACCCTTAACAAAAAAAATCCCCAAACCCTGAAACCTACGACCCCAACCCTGAACCCTAAATCCTATAAACCCTAAACCCTAAACCCCTGAACCCTAAGACCCCAAGACTGGGTTCCCCGACTTCATGATATCGAAGAAGGAGGGGCATTCGTCGACCAGCGCCTCGACAAAGGTGAACGGAAGAATTCCTTTAAAGGGGTCCTTTAAGGGATCCTTTGCAGGATCCTTTAAAAGGGGTCCTCTAGGGGTTCCTTTAAGGATCCCCTAGAGGGTTCTTTAAGGGGCTTCCTTTAACGGATTCCTTGGAGGGTCCTTTAAGGGTTCCTTAAAGGATCCTTTAAAGGGGTCCTCTGGGGTTCCTTTAAGGATTCCTTGGAGGGGTTCCTTTAAGGGGGCTCCTTTCAAGGATCCGGTAAAGGGGTCTATCAGGGATTACCATTTTATCATCAATGCAGGGGAGAGTAATCTCGATATCTGGGCCTTAGTAGATAGAAGTCGTGGGGTATGCCATACTTTAGTGACAATCAGGGGGAAGACTTCCGTGACTTATATTTGGGTTTATTTTGCCAGCCTTCGGTTAGGAGCTTGGGTTCTGATCCTACTGAGGTTTAGGAAGTAGGGGGGGGATTCAAACGTTAGAGTTAGAGTGTAGGGCTTGGGAACTATGTAACCCTACGCCCGAAACCGAGGTAATGAATCAGAAAGGAACCCTGAACCCTAAACCCCTAAACCCTAAACCCTAAACCGTCTACCGTAG